AACTACGAGTTTAGGGCAACACACCCAACACTTACAAGAACCGCATAACACATTGTATTGTAACATTTTAATATTTAATTAAATATGAGTTTTATTTTTATATTTAATTTAAGAGTTTAAAGTTTGAGAGGTGTTAACAAACTGTGAAGAAAACGTATTTGGGATAGACAGGTTAAAAAATCTTATTTATTTTTCTATTAAGTTACTAAATCTACATCTTTTATAAATACCTCTCTAACCTCACTTTCAATACACATCAACACAACCTACAATTCATACTCTCTTATCTATTTTCTCTATTCTCTACTTTGCTCTTTTAAGAGCGATTGACCAAAAGAGGGGTGTTATTTGTGGTAGAGCTTGAGCTCATTGCGTTTCAGTTGAGTTGCTGTATCTTGGAGGAAATAGGTCAGAGAATACCTACTGCACCGGTGGTTGATAAAGAAATATACACTCCAGAGGGCTTGAATCTTCTCAAAGAGAGCGAGATACCTGCGCCTCAACCTAATTGATTACTTATTTGTTTTCTCAATAATTACTCTAATTGTCTCTGTTATTTGTAATTCCCCTGACAATTTTAAGGAGATTCAACATCAATTCTTAAGGAGAATTGATATGGAGTCTACTATTGAGAAACCTAATGTGAATGTTGCAGTTCTCAACAAGTCCTTTAGATTTAAGGGAGGACACTTTAAGAGATGAAAGAGAAAAGTATTGTTCTACCTTAATCTTCTCAAACCTTAATCTTCTCAAGGTGACCTATGTCCTCACTGACAAGACTCAAAGAAAATTGATACTGAAAGCATGAGCATTGAAGAGTTCATGGAACACCAGGAGAAAATTGACAAGTATGAGAAAGATGAGTACAAATGCCGGTATTATCTTTTAAATTGCCTTGCTAATCATTTTTATGATTATTGTGATACTAATTTCATATCTGCCAAGACAATATTGAAAGTTTTGCAGAGTAAATATGATACTAAAGAAACAAGAGGGCAAGATGCTTTAATTCAAGAAGGTAATGAGAATTTCACCAAGGTAAATCTAGTCTCCACTAATGATAATTTACCTAATGGTCAAATTCTTAAAAATAGTCATTTAAAGCCAAAGAAGAGTTATACGAGAAAGAAGAATAAACCTCATTTTTCAAATGTGGGAAGGGTATAAGCCAAATTTGGGATATTTGGGCTGTTTGGCCCAAAGGGTTGGCTTCAGATGAGTTTGACATCCTAAGCCAACCCCTTATTTGGCCCATGGATTTGAAACCTATGGGCTTCCTCCCTTCAACCCCATGGGGTTAAATAGTAACCCCATGGGTTGCACTTTTTTTAAAAATACAATTTCTTTCTTTTTCTTAATATTTTTTATTTTTTTTCTTTTTAAATGTCTTATCAAGATTAAAAATGTTGATAAATAAAAATATGGATATTTCAAAAATAAATTTGTAAATTATGGAAATCAATAAACATTATTTAAATTAGTAAATGAGAGTTTAATTGTATAATTAGGCTATAATTGACAATTTTTAATCATCACATCTAAACAGATAAGTAATATTTATATTTAAATATCGATGTCAATAAAAATTTCATAAATAACCATAGAGACATGTGAAAATTGGTGAAAATTGTTTTAATTTGCAATTTAGAGTTTAGTCGTGCTTAATTATGTTATTAATTAAGTTATAATAAAACGTATTTAAGCAAGATTTGAAATATTGATATCGAGGGTAATGTTGAACTCCCAATTTTACCAAGTACATATTGATAAATTTTGAGAACATTTGTTGAAATCACGAAAACTTATAGAAATTGTTGAGTTAATAAATAAAACTTTAATTGTAGCTTAATTAAACTAAAATTCAACCATTTCAATCTTAAAATTTGCAAATTTTAGTAATGTTGATATTTTTTAAATTATAAAAAAATTGAATAATTCTATAATTTTACTACATGATAGAAATAATTTTAATATTTTTCTACGAGAAATAATTTTAGTATAAATATATGAGTAAAAATATTTGAATATCTAATATATTAATTTGAAAAAAGAAATATAAAAAATTGAAAGAATTTATTTAAATTATTATTTTTAAAACAACAAGTAACGTAAAAAGTAATATCCAGAAATTAAAAAAATAATAATGAGAATGTTGAGGGAGAGAGAGAGGCAATTGTGTGATAAGCTTTTCTCATTAAATGATAACAAAGCTTGTGTGCTATTTATAGTATAATTACAAGTAAAATTGTGAATAACAAACTCTAACCAAGCAGTAACTAAGTAGCAGTTACAGAAACTAATATGCTCTACTAAACAAATTGAGTCTAATCCCACATCGCTTCACAGAATGTAGAAATTCATGGTTGAAAAATATATAGATTAAGAAATGTAAATTTCAAAATAAATATATTAATTGTCTTTTAAAAAATTGTTTATAAATTTAATTAGATTATATCATTTACTTAACCTTTTGCCAAAAAAAAAACAATTAAAAAAATCTGCCAAACCCAAGTTACCCAACCATGTACTCCAAACACAGGCTATCTAATCCTACACCCCAAACACAGACTACTCAAACCCAGGCTACACAACACCCCAACATTAAACCCTAGACTTCACAAACTCAGGCTACTGATTCCAAATCCATGGGTCAAACGCCCCCTTAAGGGTTTGGGGATGCTTAGCTTTTGTAAGGCTAACAGACCCAAAAAGACCTAAATTTGGGTTTAAAGCTACCGCTTTTATTTTTCTTGGATATGCAGTTAATAACACAACCTATAGATTTCTTGATATTGAAAATAATGTAATTTTTGAATCAAGTGATGCAATTTTTCATGAAGAAAAATTTCCTTTCAAGCCAAGAAATAGTGGGGGTCAAAATCATGGACAAACTTCTACTAATTTTGGATATTCTACTCCAAGTGATATTAACGAAAACAACTCTCCAGTTGAATTGAGAATGAGTAAAAGAGCTAGAATTGTAAAAAGATTTTGGTCATGATTTTTATATATATAATGTGCAAGAAACGCCAGTTTCTTTACAAGAAGCTTTATCATCTCCGGATGAAATTTTCTGGAAAGAGGTTGTGCCAAACTTTCGTCGAATTTGTCACTGTCGCCGTCGGGTATTACCAGTTCGTAGTTTGTTGGATTGGTGCCAAACTTTGTGAAGAGAAAAGAAGAGAAAATGGACTTTGTTAGAGTGGGAATATGGTAGGAGATGGATGAAGATGGTGAATTTTAGTGAGAGAATGAAATGAAAAAGGAAAAGAAAAGTTGGGTTTTGAGTAGTGGAGAAGAAGAGGGAAAAAAATTGGGTTTTTTAAATCTCACCTCTCCACAGCTTTCTTCTAGCTCTGCTTGCTCTTTGTATCCTATGCCACGTTAGTGGGTTTGACGAGGGGAATGAGGGAAGAAAAACAAATTTTAATAAATCAGTTTTAATAAAAACAAATTTTTTAATTAAACAAAATCTTTTTAAAATAATATTATTTATTTAAAAACAAATCACTTTTATTTATCTATTTTTTATTTTAATAATAAAACAAAATTTATTTTTGATTTAATTAAAACTTTACCAAAAAAACCATAATAAACTAAACTTATGATGTTTTAAACCAAAATAATCAAAGTAAAATTTAATAAAATAAAAATTAAATAATAAAAATTAAAAAATAAAAAGAAGCCAGACCAAATATGATGTCTGCAATCGGCACAAGGCTTTAGAATGCTAACCGTTAAAACTCATGTCTAACACCTCGATAATTATGTTTGGATAATAATTCTTTATTTCCCCTTTATCATTAGAGTTCAAGTCGGAGACAACTACTAATACTGGAGTAGAGATTATTATTTCGCTAGTAAATGTTCAATGCATAGCCACATTTATGATGCATAATTATCTTTCTTTTGGCTAATTTAGGTTTGAGTATTTTAAATATTAAAATGAGTGGGTGAATATTGTAATATTTTAATATTTAATTAAATATGAGTTTTATTTTTATATTTAATTTAACAGTTTAAAGTTTAAGAGGTTTTAACAAATTGTCAAGAAAACGTATTTGGAATAGAGAGGTTAAAAAAATCTTATTTGTTTTTTTTATTAAGTTACTAAATCTACATCTCCTAGAAATACCTCTCTAACCTCACTTTCAATACACAGCAACACAACCTACCATTCATACTCTCTTATCTATTTTCTCTAATCTGTACTCTGCTCTTTTAAGAGCGATTGACCAAAAGATGGGTGTTTTTTGTTGTGGAGCTTTGAGCTCAACTGTAGTTGTAGGGTGGTTTGAGCTACACAATGTTTCAGTTGGATTGTTGTATCTTGGAGGGAACAGGGGGACGAGCCGGTGGTTGATAAAGAAATACACACCGCATAGGGCTTGAATCTCCTTAGAGTGAACGAGATACCCAACCGCAACCTAATTAATTACGTGTTTGTTTTCTCGATAATTACTCCAATTACTTCTATTATTTGTAATTCCCCCAACACATTGTAGATCAGTCTTATGAAATCTCATTCCACCACTCACATGTCAACATTTGAAGCACCTAAATAGGACCATCTGTAATAGTTAAAATCAAAAGAAATTTCAAAATTTATGGATTATCAACATTAAAATTAAATTTTAAAATGTCATATAATCTTTCTATTAAGGCTTTAAACGGTAAGATTTCAGAATTAATGCATGAAATGGAATTCAACTAAGGTATGTATATTTTATTTTTGAAGTTTCTGACCACGTCACTAGTTTTTTTTTTTTTTTTCCTTTTTCAATTTTTAGTTCAACATGGTATTAGTTAATTTGGTTAAAACATCCGCTTACTTTAACATAGTTTGACGATCTATTTTCGATTCTAAAAAAATCAATAGTTGGATCCCACACTACCATTATTGGACGGAGAAAAAAGCCAAATTTCTAATTTACCCTCGTCCATTTTTAAAAGGTTGCTTTCTGTGCAAGGTTTCATTCTCCATCAGAGGGGGAAAAAAACCGGAAAAAACGAAGAACAACTCCACAAGAAAGTCCCAACGCCAACGCGGAAGGATTCCAATTCAAACTCTCCAAATCTCTCTCAGTTTCGGCCACACTCGAAATCCAAATCATTTCTCAGAAACAATCCCTTTCCTCCATTAACACCCTCTCGATTTTTCCCAAGAAAAGCATCTCAATCTTCCCCTATATCTCTCCCCCGATGTCTCCTCTCCATCACCCTTCCAATTTCCCCCTTCTCTCCAATTTCTCCCTCCAATGGCCGCCCAACAGCCCGCCGCCTTCACGCCCGCCGCCTTCTCCAAGTACTCCAAGCGGGTTCTTCTCAAATCTGTACTGGAGAGCGCCGACGGCGGCCTGGGGTTTGTCGATCAGAAATTGGTCGTTGGAGGGTGGGTGAAGTCCTCCAAGGAAGTCGTCAGAGACACTGCGCGGCCGCCGCCGGACTCTGGGGCGGCGGTTGAAGCGCTGCCGCCGCCGCCTAGGGCTAAGGATGTGAGCTGCATTGAGATTATTCAATCGCGGATCCCCATTGTCAGGTCTTTGCTTAGGATTCTGTATGGAAATAGTTTCCATGCTGGTGAGAAGTTGGAGACGCCTGTTCATAAACCGCCGCTCCCTTCTATTGCTTTTCTGGCTGTTAATGATGGTTCTTGTGTTGCAAGTCTGCAGGTACTTCTAATTTATGCGTGCCAACTGTTTGTGAGTTTTTTCTGCGTATAGGTCTTGGCTGTTTTAATGGGATAAGTAGGATGATTATCGAAGAAGCAGACATGTTAGTTTCTAAAATCTTGGACACGGACACGACAAAGACACTATTTATTAAAATACACATTTTTGTGAATATGTATGGAAGTTTATGGTCAATAAGCATATGCATTTGACTGTAATTCAGTATCAAAATTTTCTATTTTTGTCATATATTACTATTTATGTCTATTTATCATGCTTAGCAAATGTTTGACACATGTCTAACAAATGTCAATATCAATTTGTAGAATAAATGTTAAAATGTGTCTTAACAAATTGTGGAGTGGACGTAGATACGTTACCCATGCTTCAAAGATAATAATGGAATCCATTGTCGACTTTTTATTATGTTCATGCATACATCTGCAATGGAGATTTAAAAAACTACTGTGGTGTGGGTTGAATTTGTATATTCCCTCCTCACCCACAAGAAAAGGAGAGAAGAAACAGAAAAAAAAAAAAGAGAGAGAGAAAGAGAGAACTTTTTAACAAAATTTAAGCTGATGCAGAATTAAGGAAGGTCTAGTTTTTTCAATATTACCACATGTTAAAGGATAATTGGTTGCTTAAGCTGTGGATGAATTTGGCTTTCTGCTTTCGCACAATAACAAGAAACTTGCAGGTTGTTGTTGAGTCCTCGTTACATCACCCCAGCCAGCTGATGCCAACGGGAACTTGCATCCTGGTGGAAGGAATATTGAAGCGGGAATCGGTACCTGGGAAACATGTTGTTCGGCTTGAAGTAGACAAAATCCTTCATGTAGGGAAGGTTGAACAGGAAAAGTATCCATTATCCAAGAAAAGAATGCCAATGGATATTTTGAGGAAATTTTCTTATTTTCGTCCTCGAACAACTACGGTAGAATGCACAACCTTCAATATATACTATATTCATTTTCTTGTTTTTTGTTCTGTGTGCATGCCTATTATTCAACCGCCTATTAGTTTGAAGATTGTGCTTAAGCAATTGCATCATGTGAATTACAAGATAGGCCTCCATTCATATTTTAAGGCTTAAGATCAGAAAAATGGAGGTTCTACAGTTCAATTTCTACTAAAAGAAAGGATTTATATATATAGTTCAATGTTCTTGATCATGGCTTAAAATGAAGTAAAGACTTTCACTTCTTCGTAGATCTCTTTGGTAGAATTGCAATGCAATTGAGTTTAATATCACTTATATATATGAGAAGGGTTCTGGTGCCAATTTTTTCACATTTATATATTGGAACTAGTAAGCATATTGAATATTCTTCACTGTTAACCAGGTAGCATCCGTTATGAGAATCCGTAATGCCTTGACTTTTTCGACTCACACCTTCTTCCAAAATCACGGCTTTCTTTACGTGCAATTGCCCACCATCACGACCACAGACAGTGAGGGATTCAGTGAAAAGTTCCAGGTTACAACACTGATTGGTAAAGCAGGTAATAAAGTAGAACCAACAGAAGATAAAGAAACTGATGGTGTAAGTCTTGAAACTGTTAAGGCTGCTGTTATGGAGAAAAGTAAACTCGTCAAAGAGCTTGAGAGAAGCGAAAGCAACAAGGAAGCATTGCTTGCTGCTGTTAAGGATTTAGAGAAAACAAATGAACTTGCATTACAGTTAGAAGCCAGAGAAAAATTGAAATCCAAGTCAAAGAAAGATAAAGTGAACTTCTCTGAAAATTTCTTCTCGCAAGAAACTTATCTAACGGTTTCTGGACAACTCCATCTGGAGAGTTATGCGTGTGCTCTTGGCAATGTTTACTCATGTGGACCAAGGTTTCGAGCAGATAAAATTGAGTCTCCAAAACATGCAGCCGAAATGTGGATGGTGGAGGTTGAAATTGCTTTTGCTCAACTAGAGGTATGACTTGAATATATGATCTTTTACTTATTCCTATAAATTGCTTAAGCCTAGTTTAATAACGGTTTGTTTTTAGTTTTCTGTTTTTCAAAATTATGCTTGTTCCTGTCTCAAAGAGGCGGTCCTGTTGGCAAAAGCTTGAGATCTTTTGGTTATATTGGCTTTGAGGTTTCAAGTTCGAACCTTCTAACATTTTTAAAAAACATGTTTGACTTCTTAGCCAAATTTAAAAAAACAAAAACAAGTTTTTAAAAACTACTTTTTTTTTAAATATTTTTTTTTAGGATTTTATTTTCAAAACTTGGTTTAGATTTTGAAAACATTCTTAAGAAGATAACAAAACAAAGAAATGCATTGGTGGGGGTTGATGTTGTGTTTATAAGCTTAATTTAAAATATAGAAAATAAAAACAAAATGGTTATCAAATCTATCATCTAAATCTTAATGTTATTTTCTGTGATTATTACACCATTGATATGATAATATCATATTTTAAGTTGCATTTTGTAACATCGTTTGGAGAGTCCAGAATGCCATGACCTGTGCTGATGACCTTGTAAAGTTCCTCTCCAAGTGGGTATTGGAGCACTGTTTGGACGATATGAAATTCGTGCAAAAACGAATTGACAAGACGAGCATTCAACGCCTTGAATCGTTTATCTCCAGTTCATTCGAGAAGATCTCTTACACTGCAGCTATAGAAATTCTGGGAAAGGTGAAAATTCAGATTATCTAATCTTCTATTATGCGACTCAATTTTTCATTCCCATCCCTGCTTATCTGAATGGTTACAAAAAAAATCATCCTCACAAACAGGCCACCGATCAAAAATCTCAACATTTGAAAAAGCTTGAATTTGGAGCTGCTTTAACCGCTGATCATCTCAGGTGATGAGCAAAATCAATATGCAACGTGTGTCTTTTTGCTCTTATTTATCTTTTAATTAAAAATTAATTCTTGTTTTGTTTTGTCTTTTGTTTTTTTCACATGAAACAGTTATCTGGCTGATGAGATCTATAAAAAACCTGTGATATTCTATGGCTACCCAAAAGAAACCAAGCCTTTTAATGTGCGTCTGAATGATGATGGGAAAACAGTTGCAGCATTTGATGTGGTTCTACCAAAGGTTAGCACATGTATCACTGATTCTTAAGGAGAATAATTAATTTTCTTTATGGACTCTGTATTTAATGATTTTTTTTTCTTTTGAGAAATTTTATTTAATGAAAATTTATTTCTTAAACTGGGAGTTATGCTTTGCAGGCAGGAGTAGTAATTTCTGGCAGCCAAAAGGAGGAGCGTATTGATATCTTGATGAAACGGTATGATATTTTAGTGGTTTAAATGTCTTTTTATTCTGTTTTGGTCTTTAATAAACTTTTAAATATTCTGTTTTAATCATTGGAATTTGCTTAAAAAGTTACCTTAGTCCTTGTTAATATTTTAATGATGAAAACTTTATAATGACACATTTTTTTTGTTTTATTTATCATATATATATGACTACGTTGACCAAGTATTTCAAATTATATGTGGTAAGTTAGGCGTCAGGTTGTCGAATGAATTAAAGTTCTCATTAAAGGTTGATGCAAAGTTTAGGTACTAAAAACAGAATATAGGGAAGTTGGGGCACCAAATACAAAATATTAGTCCAACCACAGTAGGTTAGCCTAGATTTGGGCATGTGAGAAATGTAAAGAGACGGCAGGAAAATGGGTTCAAGCTCCATGAAAGTCACCTACTTAAAATAAAATTTGCATTCCGAGTTTCTAGAGAACCAAACATTGTTGAGTCAAACAGTCGTCCAGAGTTCACCGTACTTTCTTTAGCACAAGCTTCAATCTTGTAAGCTTTTTAGGTGTAATTGCTCGTTATTTTGGTACAGGATGAGGGAGATGGGACTGCCGAGGGAGCAGCACGAGTGGTACATGGAGATTCAGAGGCATGGAACAGTGAAGCACTCTGGTTTCAGTCTGGCATTTGATCGTTTCGTTCTGTTCACAACCGGTCTCACTGACATCAAAGATGTTATTCCATTTCCAAGAAGTTTAGGAAATGCCAGCAATTGAATCGAGTTAGAGGGTGAAATCGTCCAAAAATGTTTCCCGAGCAACCTGTGAAACCTGTGTTTATTTGGATATTTGTATTTGCTTGTTGCTAAGATTTGTTCTTGTAAATAAAAGAATTTGAAATCAAATTGATCTTTCTTTTCCAAAAAAATCATTGCACAATGAATCCATTGTTTAGGATCGTAATTGCAGATGGGGTTGAGAATCATGGAATTCAACTTTTAGGACTTGTTTGGTAAAGTTTCTGTTTCTTTTTTTTAAAAATGAATTACATTGCTCCAACATTCAAGAACTCAAGTATGATAAAACAATCTCTTTATTCATGTTTTGGAACAAATTGGAAATGAGAACAAAAAAGAAGAAACTTGTTTGGGTTGTTTCCAAAATTTCTATATAATTTTGAGAATGTGTTAAAAAGAATGAAAAATAAGAAATATAGTTAATTGTAAAATGCTTAAATTTTTTAAGAAAATTGGAAAAAAGAAATAGAAACGTTATCAAACGAGCCATTAATGTACTCTCTTCGATACCAAAAAATTTCATTGCATATAAGGCACGAAATCTTATATAAATTCATTGCATATGATATTCCACTCACATGTCTTTACAATTCACTAATAGGGTACCAAAATCTAACACATATACTACATATTAGGGGTGAACATCGGTCGGTCGGAGTTGGTTTGTGGCCAATCTCGACACCAAAAACCAACGATTTTTCTAACCATTTTTTGTACCAACCGAGCAACCACCATTTCGGTCGGTCAATTTTTGTTAGAAAACCAACAATTAAATATTTTTAAAAAATCAGAAATGCGCGGGGGTTGTGGGGCTGCGTTGCTACGAAACGAAGAAGAAGATGACAGTGAGGGTGGGATGCGCCGGTGGAAACTACGAAGTGAGAAGAATAGGGTGGTTGGGCCGTGGAGTGAGCTGCGCCGCTAGGAGGTGGAAGAAGAAAATAAAATAAT